GCTAAAACAAGTTTGGTTGTACTGGATAAGGCCAAATATTTCCTTCAAATGCAGTTATCGATTCTTTGGTTGTCGTCACAAGTTTTGATATTGATTCGATACTTCCCTGACATCAAATTATTATAAATAAAATAACAGTCGTTGAATAATAAAGAAAAAAAATGGCCACGCCAATGAAACCAGTCACTGATACTTTAAGCTAGAAGCCTACACGTAATTTTTGATATAGTTGGTCATAAATCGCATGACTATGTTCATTGGTTTATTATGTAAAATCATGGTCCTATTGTCCCATGGTACCATGAAATTGCATTCTTTTGTGAGTTACAGTGATGCATTTTGAGAAACTTGTCCATATATTTGTCAAAAATCGCTATTTTATTACAATTATATTGAACACAGTGTTAAAATGCACTTTGACACTTTTTAAAATTCATATGTTTTAAATAATTCAGAAAAAACAAAAAGTATCCCATTATTCACAATGTATATTTTTACAGCATATCCACCAGCCTACATATAATAGAATATAATATCTCCGCCACTGGAACCTATGGTAAAAGCGTTATGATACTCACAAAATGGTCACTACCCACTAAAATACAACCATCAAATTCTAGAAAATTAGGCTGGTGAACCCAACTTTTTTAAAGTAAATATCTTTATATTGCTAGGAGTCCAATTCTTCTCAAGATGGATAAATTCTGGGTATTGGTATACGACGAGTGTATCGAATCCGCATAGAGACTAACTAAGTTCCAAAATGTTTGATCAATTATATTAATATAATAAATAAATTTTGAGTTTGAAAATTATCTGAAAATTATCTGAAAATTATAAATAATTTCAACCTCCGAAAAATGCCAAGTAAATTTAGAATCAGTGATCACAATCTAAAGATTGAACTAGGGAGAAGGAACGAATCAAAAATTTTGTTAGATTTTATCCTTAAATGTCCTTCATTTAAAAGTGAAAGGAAAAGATTTATGAAGATTGTCTTTCTAAAGTCTAATTTACCAGATGATATTTTTTTGAGGTAATGACTATACCTTAAAGATACTATCTATAAATCCCCTGATTAAATGTTGTGAGAATATTGAAGTTATTATTTTGATATTTCTTTAGTCCTTATTTTTTCAGTTTCACTGTTTGTTTTTATTACATTTGTTTATTTATGTCTTGTTATTATCTTCGCCTTACTAAATCCTCTGATGATTTATTTGTGTATTAAAGTTATTATTATAATCGACAGGAAAACAACCTCTTAACCATGCAATGGACCGTATAACGCAGACTAAATATAACTACAAACTACGCAATGTCACCAAATGAATGAATAGATTTCAAAAGAAAACTAAAATCGGCTCAGTGTAAAATGAGAACAACTGAGTTTCAGATTACCATATGCATCTTTCGGGCTCGTTGTGTTTGTGTCATATGTGTTAAATTAAAGCGCGGTAGTCGTCGCGTTGCGCATGTGCGAAGATATATGGGTCTCATATAAACAAAGATGGCGACTTTGACTGTTGCGCAGATCAACGAGTGCGAACTGACACGTTTCCAAGCCTTAATTGGGTAATTTTCGAAGAAGTCACAGGCGGTAATCAGTGCAAGTCGCGCCCAGGTCAAACCTTATACTTGTGATTTCCATTTTAAGAGCGCATTGGATTGTGGGAAAATCAATGTTTATCAACACGAATATCGAACATGCGCAGCGCGACGACTACCGCGCTTGAATATACATGTACTCCAATACGCTGCTGAAAATGATTTGTACAATAACAGAAATAATTTTGGTTTTCGCTCTTCCCACTAAAATATATGGTTAAGTGTCAGTCTGCAAATACACACTCCACATAGAAATACATAACGTTCGTTAACTGCTGGCTGAAGTATAAACATGCCGTCTATAAACGCCCGATCCATGCGATATTTTTATGAGCAACAATCTCCCGGTGGCTAAGGGGGTTAAATCTTTTCTTGTTTGCAATGTTTACAAAATGCCCGCAACACGATATTCCGATGGGGCCACCGTTACCAACTTGTTGATTGTATGTAACTTATGCCAAGCGCCCCATACTGAGTATTGTATAATAAAATACGTCGTGTCACATATTCTTACAATGAAACCTTATATTACTTATTTCAATTCATTTTCGCCGTGTTATTCCCACCGAACCACACCCGTACTAATATCCGGCTTACTTGTTGGACTTCCGCATTAAGGATTAAATTCGAGGAATTGATTTCAGTATTTTGGAAAACGCCGCCATCGGTGAGTCATGGAGTCGATTGACTGATCGGTGATCGGTGTTTCTTTCAGAAATTTTGCTTCTTTAGTAAAACTTTAAAATGGGTTTTTATAAACCTCAAATGACATTTTATGTTAGAAACATGCATTCATGTTGAATTGTATCACAGTAAGGTACTTTCCACGGTAGAGATGGAACTCCTCTGTGATTTTTCACGCAAGCCCACAATTTTGCTTTAAAATGATGAAATTGGTCAAAATTCAAAATTGTAACTGTAATCTGTCATCTAACTCAGGCTGTAGTCAGTAGTATATTGCAATTCATTTTATTGCATTCGTCCATGTCCTGTCGTGGTATGTGGTGACCACGGTCTCCTTGTCACAGCCACCTTATGCGACTGCGTCGGTATGGGTATGTCTACGTATGTACCGGGGAATAATTTTTCTACACAGTCAGTCAGTCAGTCAGTTTTCATCATGTACAATGAGTTGAATAACCATTATTCTAATGTATTACACCCGTACCCTGTTTTAAATGACAGTGCTACGCTGTATACTAGTGATTTAAAACATGTCGCGCGTGGTATCTGTAAAATGTCACTAGTTGCAACAATCGAACTCGTCATTTTGGTTCCTAAGGGCCGTTGCCCGAAACGTCTAGTTATGTGGAACAGGATTACTAGCTACGACTTTTTATAAGCGCTGTAGGTTGTAGTAAGTATAGTTATTGAGTAACATTGTGATGTTTTTGTAGGACGGACAACTCATGATTTAATCAAAGTAAAAAAAATCTACATGTCTAAAGTATTGGCTAAATGTTTAAAATCTCTGACCACTATTTTTTCGGTGCGCCGACGCCGATAAAGAGGTTTTTATATGTTAATTAATGCTGATCATCGTCAAGTGATATATATTTGTCAACAGCTCTGCTACCCCACACCAACGGAGCGGTCATGCTGAGTATTTCGAATCAATCCTACACTGTATATATATGTGGTTATAATAATTAGTGACAATCATTTATATTGTTTGAGATTTATTTTCTGCCATGTTTTTTTTTTCTGTAAATTTAGTTGTGAACTAGATACAAAAACACCGTTTTTATGATATGACATTGTCTTACGCTATTTCGCTGTTAACGTTTAACTGACTGACTGGCGGTTCTGCTCCCAGCGACGATCCATTCTAAATATTGACTTTTAACTTGACCATGAGGTATGTTTCATGGCTTCACCCTTTTCTCCGAACGCGGGAATTTTTAATCGATGCTTATTTTATTTTTATCCACAGTGATTCACTTTGTCCCGACATCGTGAACTGATACCATATGTATAATCAGGGTCTGGTTTCAACCGACCAATCAGCGAGCACGTTGGAGATGTCTGCGAATCAGTGATTGGAGGAGGATATGGCGAGTGCTTCCGAGTACAGCAAGTGATATCCCGATCCTCCGAACGTATATAAACTCCGTGCAAAGTAAATTTCCAGCAATGTGCCGTATCCTGGCGATATCGGACATATTAAACTTTTTCTATTTAGAACAAACGGAAACGATTAGCTGCAATATTTTATACTGATATATATATATATTATTTCACATTTGTTTAATATATTTCTGCTACAAACGAGGCCATAAGTCTAAAATGATTCTTAGCCGGGCAAAAATGCGAACGACTTGGCTGCTTGTCATTACGGTAATTTCTGTGACGCTTGCATCAGAACTATTACAATCCCAAGACACCGAAAAGTAAGTACATTTCATTTTCTACTATGCATTCACGCATGCGCTTTAAGTTGACTATATATCAGTGTACCACATTCTTCATAAATTCAAGTAAATTCACATTTATTCCAAATTTAAACCATTGTCATGATTTAGATAGTAATTTTTGTAAAATTTGTATGTTTTATATATGTGTTTTAGCAGTTAGTGTAATCATTTTAATTCCTTCTGAGAAATTTTAAGTGTTTCATAAACTAAACTAAACTAACCTAACATATTTGTACATTTCAGTCAACACACGAGGCAAGAAAGGTCGGCTCCGATACGTAAGTTTCTCACCGTCGTTAATTTCATTTGTATTAAAATATCACGTGATATAAATATATGTCGTTAAGAATATTAATTTGTGTATTTTATTTTTTTGAATTTTCTGCTTTTATTGACCCAACTTTTACATTAATTATTGCTTTTCGCCCTCAGTTCGAATCCCATCCGATGCAGAACATATTCCAGAAGGTGAGTTGTACATATATATAATCACCATCATTATTTTTTAGTTCTCGGGGCGTGTATAATTTTTGTTTGTCCTCGCACACAAACTAGAAAAAGTATGTGCGTTGGGACTGTCCGGTTTAGGGTAAATTTGGTACAAACAGAGTTGTTAACTATCAGTTTCTGACAAGTCTATATTTCAAGGCACACCTTTTATTTATTTATTTATTTATTTATTTGTTAACACGCAACATCCCCCGGAGGGAATGAAAAGGGTTACAAATGAGATCAAACCTGATCTGCCTCGACCCTCGATTGGACACTTCAGTACCGGTACTCTATAATATGCTATTATATACAACCCAGGTTTATTGAGTCGGGACTGTGAAGTGAGAAAAACGCGGCGAGGGACACGCATTCACTTTAATGGTGTTAACGCTCGTGTAAATAATGTTGACCATGACTGAACATTTCTACGAAATATGGAAGGTTGGTCAAAGCTGCAGTTGGCTTAAGTCCTTGACATGCGCGTACACCTTGTATCTGGGTGCTGATACACCGAGCTGCAAAACTAACTCCGTACAAGCCAGAATAATTTCACCCCAAGTATCGTAATGATATAACGGAACTTGAAGAATTGAATTATACTAATGCCTAGTTTTCGTGCACGCTATGTCTGTGCCGATATTTACAATATTTGAGAGGAATTCTAGATCATCCGGCGTTCCAGGTGTTATTATTTGCAAAATTATTGTCAGATGTTGTTGGTTTCGAGACAGGACTAACCTGCTCCCGAAGAGTATGACCCACGGCTAAACGAAACAATTACACGTTGAACGGAGTTAACCCCAAACAAGCATAAGAAAATTATACTTTTCACCTCCAGTTCCTGAAATGTAATCGTTGGTCTACTTCACTTGAATACGGCCACGCTATCCAATTACGCTACAATGATTACATAATACGGATAGTGTCTCGATCCGAGTATTTTGAACCCAACACTCCCTGAGAGTTGACACGCTGAACAAATGAACCCCATAAAGCTACTCGATTCATCTTTTTTAGTATAATTTTGGGTGAAAAATTGCCAAAACATATTCTTGAGTAGAAGCGCTTCTATATATTACCAACGTTTGCCAATTGAAGAATTGTTTATCAAAATTGTCTCAAGTGTAGACAAATATGTTTGTAGTATTTTAGTTAATTTTGTATTTCAGATTCTAAAATTATTTTAGATTAGTTGTCACGGTGTTATTTTATGTTTCTTATATTAGACTTTACTCAAGCATTTATTTTTGTGTACGTTCTAAATAAAACATTCTATTCTATTCTATTCTATTCTATTCTATTCTATTCTATTCTATTCTATTCTATTCTATTCTATTCTATTCTATTCTATTCTATTCTAGCCTCATGACAGTACCCCTTCCCGCCACATTATACACTCCCTTAGTACTGCCCTCCCCATCTATTACATCAACCCCTTTACAACAATACATGTCTATCATTTGCCAACCGTGTTCACATTGTGAGGTCACCACCCGAACGTCTCAGTACTTGCTTGTTCATTGACGTGAATAATTTCCCATTTATTGTCGGAAATTTTCCTTCCAAACTAATTAACATTACAAACTCGGATACACCATGGAGGTATAAACAGATACCTCCCTGTATATACTAACATTTACGTGATTGATGCCAGTGCGTTTTTCCAATAAACTGAGGAATTCACGCATTGGGTTTTGAGCAACTTCGACGTTCAGTAACAGTAACATTTCATTGAATCTTTAGAAAAAGAACTTTTCTATCCGTTGTTGGCAATAAATATATATGTAACAAAAACTAAAAAATAATACATGTACAAATAACAATCAAAAGAAAAATTACGCAATTTCATTTCGTGTTGTGAAAAACGTTTACAAAACGTTCAATGTTTTTGATCATTTCCATCACTACTGTAAGACCATTTATTTTCACTGGTATTTAATTTCACTATTTAGGTGCTTTTAGCAATTTTATTGGATTTTAGGTTCATGAATGTGGCCGGGAAACAATGAGTTCGACTGTTATTTTTTCATGTTCATTAAAAATAATTTAATTTAGCGAATTTTACTTCTCAACAAACATAGCGAATTTAAAAACCAGCGAATAATTAATGTTTCACCAGTATTTTCAAGTAGATGTACAAGTTTCTGGAATGAAATGGTGATTTTAGCAAGGAATGCAGTATCTGTCAGAATTGTTTGTGGTCTAAAATAATATTTAGGACATGAATTATTATTTTCTATTCCTACATGGATTTAAGTCACCGCGTCTACCCATGATGGCCTAAGAACTACAATGTAATAAATAGCCAAGACAAATAACATTATTATTAAAAAACCGTTGTTATTTGTTTCACTAGAAAACCGATGTCTACAGAATGCGCCAGAGAGACCAAACAACGGACACATCGCATTCCAGATATCATCAGAGACGCAGTAAGTAATGCAAATCATGGAGCTAAAATGCATTTTTTCAGTTGCACGTACGTTCTCTGTGGTATATGCCCGAAGTATTACTATAATCACAGTCCCTCTATCATGATAAATTCCTTTCTATCATCGTTTCGTTACTTGCTAATCACGCCATCTAGCGGCCGTTTCGGAAAGCGGAAACAGGAAGCTGGGGGAAGCGCGACGTTTGACTTTGGAGTAATTCTGCTGTACGTTTTTTTTTTCATATTCAGAGAATTATATGCCTCGTGTCTTAATGGTTTTGAATGGGAAACTAACCCAAGATATACCGTGTTCACCTGTAACAATAATGACGGTGTCTGGTCGCCAGAGTATACGTTGCCAAACTGCATTCGTAAGTAGTATTCATTGCTTGAGGAAGAGTTCATGGTGTTAAAATTTGACAGCAGTGTTGATTTTGTATTTAAGATGGCGGGTGAGCAATATTCCTGCACAGGGAAATCAGTTTGACTAGAAGAATGTCCCTCGAAAACAAAGAGTTAGATCACGTGTTGTGTTTTACCATAGTTACCGTGCTTTAGCTCAGCTTTACATACTGGTGCGGCAAATAAATAATCCGATGAATCTAATTTTGTCTACAGTCAACATCATCCTAGGCCAATCTGTTTAAATATAGATGTTCTGTACCGGATGTTTTTTTATACATTTTTTATGAATAATAAATTTAAATCAAATAATTAAAATATGGATTCATATTTTGAAAAAAATAACAAACAGAATTATAAAGTTCATTGACTGTGTCTACATCCCCAACCATAATAATTATAAAAATCTTCTCGTTACTACCTCATTTTTTTCAGAATAGATAACTGTATTTTTTTTATCTAACCATTTAAATTTTTTCTTTAAATTGTATGTGTTCTTAATAAAGGTTAAGGTTCAATCCGTAATTTCACTTTGGTATCCTTTGTTTACAGCAATCTGTAGTCCACCTTGTCAGAATGGAGGTATCTGTTCTGCACCAGGCAGCTGTCAGTGTTTATTTGGCTTCTCAGGCAGTCTGTGTCAGGATTCCTCACAAGGTGAGTTGATGTCTGCATGGCCTTATATTTAGACACCGTCCTAGTTGTTATCCCCATATGTATGTTTCAAATTTCACTTTTATATATTAAACAAATTTTGTGAACTTCCAAGAACATGAAGCTATTGATTGACTATGATTTCTTACTATGTTTCCAGGAGCAGAGCCCAGCTGTGAAGTACTCTCATCACCTCTCAATGGTGAAATAAGCTGTGTTCAGGATAATTTTGGGCTGTAAGTCACTTTTATTAAATTCATTCTTTTCTTTTATTCTTATATGTTTATATTATTATGATTATTTTATTTCCATTTCTTTAAAGAAATACATGTATACCCCACTAACCTGGGGGAGCAGGTTACGCTGCATATAAAAAAGAAAGTTACAAGCGTGACTTTAATCATCTCAATAAAATAAAATAAAATATTATAACTCATCTATTGGAGAACTCGCACTAACAAATTATATCTAATCTGAAAAGCTGTGTATACAAATCTTGCAAGAATTTGGATGATTTCATGGTTATCCTGAGAAAAAATATATAAGTTTACTGATAGGCGAAAGGAGCTCAAATTGTCGTTCAATTCAATCAAAAAGTGGTTTTCGAATATGGTTATATGCTGGACAAACTACCAGAAAATGAGTTTCATCTTCAACAGCATCAATACATATTTGGCAGGTTCTATTATCCACTGGAGTTCCATAATATCTACCGGTCTCAATGTGTAACTTATGATTAGAGCACCGAAGTTTAGTTAAAGCTTGTCTGTGCAGGGGAACACGAACGATATCCAAATAATTCTCGTAAAAAATATTTATTTTAAGTTAGCGAAACGTTCGTAACTTATTTCTACAAGCCATGATTCTGCACACTGTTGATTTCTTCAATCTCAAGCAACTGCTGCATGTATATGTGTTTTTTTTCCTGCATTTTGGAGCATTATACTGCCCATTATTGTGTGGCAATAGGGTTGGACGGAGATGTTTGCTTTAATAATTGGAACACATTGTGCAATTCTCTGTTCTTGCTTTGTTATTATGCAACAATTAGCAGCGTGTCATCATTATTCTCTAAATAACATTAGATATATGCATTTATGTCAAAACTATTGTAAAAACAAATTGAGAATGTAAGTTTTAATGCAGTCAATCCAAACACATTGATTTCTGCGATTTTATAACAATAGTCTGTGTATATATCTGCATATGCAAATCTATTTGTGTCAAATTATATTTTTATTTTTTTTAGGGTGTGTGAGGCTGTGTGTAACGATAATTATCACTTTGAAAATGGTGGTAGTACTCTTGTGTACACCTGTAACAATGCTGACCATCGCTGGGCACCAAATGAAAACATTCCAGATTGCACATGTAAGCTGAGCTCCTCCAGTTATAGTCATCATCTATTTTCATTCATTTTAGATGCCTACTCATAAAAAAAAATGTTGTTCATAAATCACATGGCACTGTTCACTTTTCTATCATGTACAATCATTGTGCTATAACAGCATTCGGTTTTAGTGTCATAATTTTGAAAAAAAAAACGGCCAAATATTCAAACCCAGATTATTGAAAAAATTCAAACAAAAAGTCACAAGATATTTTCTCACTCTATGTCAATACTTTTAAATATTGCATACACTGTTGTATCTCCATAATTTGAACCAATGATAAAATCTAAAATGTAACCATAATTTTTTTGAAAAGTAACCTGGATACTCCATACCTTTTTCTAAGTCAACTTTCTTATATTTGACAGGGTTATATGTACAATTTACTGAAAAATGAATAAATTCTGCATATTTGTTTTTATGAGTAGGCTTCTTTTTTAAGTTGCACTGATGGTTATTAAGTTTCTTACACCTTTTTATTCCAGCTGACTTTGGCAGTGAAGTGTGCAGATACCTTGACCCAGCCAGCAACTCATTCACCAGCTGTCAACGAGGTTCAACAGAAACGTAAGTCGACTTTACATTCAAAATACCCAACTCCCTATTAGTTCTATAGAAGTGAACTCTTTAGTCCAATAGAAGTGGGCTCTGTAGTGGTCTTCATGGTCAAGTATTTTTTTCATACCTGCACTTCAGCATTTACTCGTTTCCAAACAAAGAGTTGCACAGCTTCCCTAGCAATAGAGTAACTAACAGTGTTTTGTTATTGTTTCAGGTCTTGTACTGCAACTTGTTCCCATGGCTACCAGATGAGTAACGGAGAAACATCCGTTACTTATGACTGTAACCATTTAAGTAATCAGTGGATACCAAGCGAGGAATTTCCGCGCTGTGACCGTAAGTTTTCTTCTGTTTTTTTAGTTTTCTTGATATTACATCAATTAGAAAAATGACTTTAACATCTTTATGAAGAGAAGTACTGCATCTAAATGCACTATTTTTTTTTCTAAACAGCTGTATGCGACCCACCATGTCAGAATGATGGACTCTGCCAAACCCCAGGGAGGTGTTTATGTCTCCATGGTTACACTGGAAACACCTGTGAAATCAGTAAGTATTTTACTGCATAATTTATTTGATTAATAGTTTTAAAATATGAAAATAAAGATTGCTGTTGTGACATAAAACGTTTTCATATCTGTTATAGGTCCGGAAGATTACTGTGAGAATAATCTGTGTCAGCATGGTAGTACATGTTATAGTAACCCATCCACTCACAGCTATTATTGTTCCTGTGCAGATGGATTTAACGGCTTCTACTGTGAACATGGTATGTTGTATTTCAAAGAGGTATAATTTTCATTTACATGTGAGTCTTTGGCAAACTTTGATAAATTTGCTGGTGCTTTGAAATCAACTTGTTCCTACGATAAATTTCTACAATGCCATTATGATAGGAAGACAACCACACAGTTCTGGAGTATGGTTTGTCTGTGTCATTATGATAGGAAGACAACCACACAGTTCTGGAATATGGCTTTTATGTCATTATATGAACACACAGTATTTTTATGTTGATCCCAAACATGGAATTTGGTTTGTAGCAAAAGCACTCCATACACATAATTCCACATACAAAATTCAGCAGAGATAAAAGTGACATTCGGTGTCAAGAATTGTCACACAAAAATATATTAAAAAAATATAATATTCTGTTGTATTGGTAGATAGTTTTAAGAAATCTTATATAATTTGCATGTGATTTTGAAATTCAATGTCAAAACACTGGTCTATACAGCACATTACGCTTTACTTTATCACTTCATTCCTACAGTTGTTTGTGCTGAAAGATCTCCAGACAATGGTGCTCTGGCTTGCACACTTAATAACACTATGAAAAGCTGTTCTTTTCAATGTCTGCCTGGATATCAACTTTCTCAGCCAATCACTAACTCATATCAGTGTCACCTGATCACTGGTCTTTGGACTCCTGAACTACCTGAGGTGTATTGTATACGTAAGTATTACTTTTCCACCCTAATGAAAAGCACCGCATGAGACACACTGTTTTCCATATTTGTACCCGTGATGAACATCACATGTGTAAATAATATTGTTCATTTGTTGACACAAAATTTGAATGCTTGCTGCATGACAACTGTAATGCTCCAAACCAGATCATTAACAAACTTTTTGTAGCAATTTTGATTTTTTTTTAATGTATTTTATCATAGACTCTATAGATATATGAATTTTACTTTATAAAAAACTTTTTCAACTTCTTGTCTTTCAGCTGAAGTGGTTCCAACACAAGCAGTCATCATTCCTGCTATGTATCCTACATTAGGACCAGTTGGACCAGGTAATTAAAGCCACTTTTTTCACAACTCCAGTGACACACTTTAACAAATATGACACATGTAATTAGTTTATGGTACAATGAATTATTGATCACTTTTTAAATCTGAATTTTTTCAGCAAATCCCGATCCACAGCAAGGTGGGTTCTGTTTCACCTGGGGTCAGAGCCACTATCGTACGTTTGATGGATCAATCTACAACTTCCGTGGTGGTTGCACTTATCTTCTTGCTGGTAATTGTTTGGACAACAGCTTCAAAATCCAAGTACATAATGACAATCAGTGTTTAGATGCTGGACACTGTAAACGCTCTCTCACCCTGTTTGTTGGCAATATTGAATTCTCACTTGACAGTACGCTGAATGGTGTTCTCGTCAGCAGAAATCAACAACCTCTAAACATACCCAACAACATCAATGGGTTGGACTTTTCTAAGGTTGCGGACTATATCATTGTCCGCAGTGGTTTAGGCTTTACTCTTAGATGGGATGGAGCTGAAGCAATCTCTGTCAAGGTTTCAGAGTCACTTTTTGATGAGACTTGCGGTCTTTGTGGGAAGTACAATGAAGACGTCATTGATGATTTTACAGATATCAGTTCTACTGTGGTGAGGTCTGTCTTTGATTTTGCCAATAGCTACAAAATGAATGAAATCTCTGAAGGTAGGTCATTTTTAGGTTTCTGCCATTGTTGACATTTCAAAACATGTCTGAACATAATTTTGCTGGTAGAAATTGACTCAACTTTCTAATGAGAATCCCATTTAAATTTTCACTTCTACAAAATTTCTTGATTTTCCCAGTCTCATGAAATTCATAAAAATTGATGAAAATAAAGTACTAGTAGTAATAATTTTTAAATGATGTTAAAATTCATAGTTATTTATTAAATTTGTTTTGGTATTTATATTATCACAGTATTTTGTTATTTGCTTAAATCACAGACCTTAGATTTATGCTTAAATGAATGACAATTTTTTCTCTGTTTTTCAGATGTTTGTTCAGATAGCAGTCAGCAGTCCCTGTGTCACCATAGTACAAATGACGATATTGAGATAGCACAGATAGCAGACAGACTCTGTAATCAGCTTTTAGATTTCTCAGCTTGTCATCATGTGAGTATTCTTTTCTTCTCTATATTTCTGTAACACCACAGTTTTAGTTTGTGCATGGAACATAGAGCTCGGCTAAATATCAACGTTTGGAATTTTAGAAGAAAAAGTTGGCCAAGCTGGGTTCAAACCATGACTTTGGTGTTGGGAGTTAGTACCTGTAATGTGGTTAGGATTGATATATAAATGAAGAACTTTTCATCAGATTGTCATTGTTTATTAAAGTCATTTATCACACCTCGTATGCGTGTTATTTTAAGTGTACCAGCATGGCTGCTCGTGTGTACTCAGTATACTTACTACCAAAGGGAGGGAGGGGGTATTATAGATAAGTAAGCAAGAACTTGTCAGTCTGTGTGCTATTGTTATTATTAAAACTGAATTCCTGAATTGAAAATAAACTTCCTACTACTTAATTCTTATATCCAGGCGGTAAACCCAGCACCTTTCTATGCAGCATGTAAAGAAGATGTCTGTGGTTGTCATGGTAACAGTAGCTGCCAATGTAGTAGTTACGCTGCATATGCTAAAGAATGTGCCAGGCATGGTATCAACATTGTGTGGAGATATGAAGAGAGATGTCGTAAGTATATTTCATATTTGTCTTCACTTCAGAAACTTTTTGCTTGAGCTAGTTGGGAATAAATGTTTGTATTTAAAAGAGAAAGAGAGCATTGTTAACACATGAAAGCTTTCACAATGGCCGATATGAATGGTATATAACTGTGCCACAGTAGCTTTCTGATCTCTTTTGCCTTAAGTCCTTTTAATTTTCTCATCAGCCAAAATTTAACGCAATCTCTTAACAGCAAATGTGATTTGAGATTTTCCCGCTAAGATTTTTACAGTGATTTGCCTCTCAGTAATTCAGATTATCTGTCCTGGTGACTGCATGCATATATATATATTTACCAGTAATACTGGCATACTCACAGTGTGTTATCGTTGACAGCTATCACATGTTCTGGTGGTATGGTATATGAACAGTGTGGCAGTGCTTGTCCTAAAACTTGTCAGAAAACTGCCTATCAGTGTGAAGATGATCATTGTATTGATGGATGTCACTGCCCCAATGCCACTGTCAAGTACAACAATGTCTGCATTGCTGAAGATGAATGCCCATGTGTCAATAGTGGTAAAGAGTATACAACCGGATCTGAAATACCCCATGATGATGGCTGCAATGTGTGGTAAGTACGGTAACCCTAGCAACCTCTGGCAGCCATCTTGGATCTTGCTTTCATGTTTGAATGTTGATGCTTTCATGTGTGATAATAAGTTCATTGTTATTATCAGTCGAGTGACATAAATAAGTAATTAGTAAGTATACTGTGGAATACTTTATTTTCGCTGGAATTAATTTTCGCTGAAAAGGCTTTTTAGGTGTTTTGTATGGAATTTATTTTCACTGATTTTTGATGAATTTAATGTGAAATATAGGGAAAAAGTATATTCGCTGGATTTTATTTTCACTGAATCATCCCTTCAGCGAAAATAGCGAAAATAAAGTATTCTACAGTAGTATTTTATTAGTGGTTGTCCATCAATAAAAAAAATAGTGTTCAGGGATTGAAATTAACCTTGCCTGTCTGGGACAGGTCTTAAATTCAACCCCTGATGTTTTTAAAGAATCTAAATGCCTAATGACTAGGTATACAATCACGCATAGTTGTCTATTTGAATAAGATTTCTGTCTTCCCTATACAAATGTACCGTTACAATTGACATATCTGTCACGTCCATATGACTATATAATTATTGGAGAAATGCAATCTCATTCCTATTACAGTACGTGTCAAAGTGGAAACTGGCGTTGTACAGAAGAACAGTGTGGTGGTGAGTACTGACACAAAGTTGCAACCTAAATTGACTAACTATAAATAAAAAAAATTAAACTTGTTTGTGATTATACTGACAGCAAAATCTCAAACTGTATCTTGTTATCTTCCAGCTACTTGCTCTGCATACGGTGATCCTCATTACGTAACTTTTGACGGTCGCCATTATAGATTTACGGGTAAATGTAGCTACGTTTTAATGAAGACTATGGATGATACTTTTGGTAATTTCACCATTAATGTAGATAACGTACAGTGTGGGGATTCTCGTTCAGCCTGTACAAAGTAAGTCTAACACTTTCAAACATCTATGATAGTTTTGGTAATTTCACCATTAATGTAGATAACGTACAGTGTGGGGATTCTCGTTCAGCCTGTACAAAGTAAGTCTAACACTTTTAAACATCTATGCTAGTTTCAAACACAAACCATGATGTATTATTGCATTGTAGTTATTATTGTACATATGTTAATATGAGAAACCACTTCAAATGAAGATGGCATTGTGATCTTTATTATCCTACAATATAAAATATATAACTTTATAATCAAAACTGCGTGAAATTTATTCTCTGTATAATACATATTTTGCTAATTTTTTCTGCTTTTTGGTTGTCCAATATATAACTGCCTATATAAACACTTCTCAATTTTTTGAGGGATGTGACAGTTATTCATTTCATTCGGCCTATTAAGCCTTTGTTTTCAAACTTTGATTGACAGGTCAGTTATGATTACAGTTGATGACACTCATCTTAAATTGAAAAGAAGACAAGGAATTGTTGTAAATGGAAATGATGTTGATAGATCCAGTTTACCAATCAAAATACCGGGATTATTTGTAGAACAAGTGACCGATCTGTACCAGAGGGTGGGTAAACCGTTTCATTTTCAGCGCTAGGAATGTTTGTTTTCATTGCTATAAAGATGACAATTTTCTTTTATTTAAAGTGTTAGCTAGTAAACTTACATTGTGTTAGTGAGCATACATATTTTAGATATCTAGGTACACACCTTTGTGCTGCCAACAGGATTTCTTATTCTGTCTTCTTTATGTGGGTGACTTATTTGTTCACATGAAAATTGGGAACTAAAATTTGCTTGGAAATCAGGGGAATACAACAGAATTCCAAATTATACTTCAAACTTGTTGTGTAATCATGTAAACTATATATTCTGTGTGTATACAACATGTTTATGGATTGCTAACTATACCAATAGTGAGTGATGCATCTCAACAATTATTTCCCAAACAAACCTGCTTCAATCTGAAAGTGAGTTATCATGTCCTGCTACCCATTCTATATGTCATTGTGTAGAATTAAAAGTATAGTGTATTGAAGTAAATTTCGCAATTAACCTTTGTAACAGATAACTTTGGACAATGGAATCCAAGTGAAATGGGACAGTGTTGCAAGAGTTTACGTTACAGTCCCAGCAAAGTTTTTCAACAATACTTGTGGTTTATGTGGTACATTTGACAGAAATCAAGAGGTGAGAATCAACAAACTATTATTTTATGTTGTATTTTGTGTCGTGTATTTCTAGGGTAGCAGTAGTACCACTATCCCAATGTGTGATATTGTTAAGGGTATTATAAAATGCATCTTGGTTTATTTTTACAGAATGATTTTTGGACTGAAGAGGGTGACATTGAGAGACAGCCACGTGAGTTTGGTAATAAGTGGTCTTTGGATAGGAGTTGTGCTTCACCTCAGACGCCACCTAGTGATCCGTGTGAGATATATACACAGAGGAGACAGCAAGCTGAACAGCTTTGTGGAATGCTCAGACAATCTCCTTTTACAGGTTAGCATTACATTTCATGTTTAAAAATGCTTCTTATGATAGAAAGGATTTGTAAAAAAGCAAGGAAAGACAACAATCAGCTGTAAAACAAGAGGAGTTATGTTTTGTTTTTCTGTGTTTTAGATGATAAAATGTTGTATGAGATATCAAAGTTTGTTTTCTGTTTTTGTTGCATTTGTTATTTGTCATGATGCAATATCTGAAACAGGTGTCAATTGTTCCAAAGTCATTATTCATTATTCAAAAATAATGGTAGAAAACAGGTATTGAAACTCAGGCATACAATGTACCGGGGGTATGTTCTTAAATCTCCATTAAGCTAAGGAGTTTTAAATTATCTCAAGCATCATTATACTTTTTTAACTCCAAAAATGTCGTATTTTCAGGTACAAATTGTTTTTGTTTTTTTGTTCTCTGAGTCTATTCTATTCTATCATTGTTTCTAAAACTGTTCTAATTTCAATTGATAAAATCTTATCTGTTTCTAGAGTGCAATAACCTAGTTAACGTTGATGGCGTTTATACGGACTGTATGTTTGACCAGTGTAATCAAGGCGGTGATGAAACACCGTCCGAGGTGCTATGTGATTACCTATCGAGTTACGCTATGGACTGTGCCAATCATGGTTTGGTGCTTGCCTGGAGAGATGTTGTACCCCAATGCTGTGAGTTCATGTCTTTTATAATCAGTCTTTGCTGCTAATAAACAATTTGTATTATTTGTACAAGTCATCACATCAATTACTACTTTATAATTCCAAATGTTTCCAAATTTCACAAATTGTGTGTGTTTTTCAGTTATTGAGTGTGAACGAGAGAAAGTTTACCAGGAATGTGGATCGGCATGTCAAACAAGCTGTGCAGCACTGGGTTACGACTGTCAGCAAGAATGCATACCGGGATGTAGTTGTCCACCGGGTATGGTGGAAGATTACCATGGCAACTGTGTCTTGATTGAAGAATGTCCCTGCAAGTATAATAATAAAATGTATGCCAGTGGTGAGCTCACCCACCAAGATTGTAAAACCTGGTAAGTAACCCTTAGGCTATTGTAAAAAAGTTCAACATTGATGTGTATGTCCATGCTGGATACTTATTTACAAATTTTGCAACCACCATCAGTTGTTTGCTAGCTCAGCTACAAATCTCTCCATTCAAATAAGATTTATTATGATCAGGAATATAGTAGAAAAACCTGCTTGATTAGTTCCCATTCAAATTTTAAACACCTTGTATTAAAATAATAAAAATGCGTGTTAATAATGGTAACATGTTCAAGTTCTATGAAGTGATTGATAAAAGTAATGATTATTTTCAGCCAATGTACTAGTGGTGTTTGGCAATGTGAAGACAGGGAATGTGAAGACACTGAACTGGAGTGCAGCGAAAACATGGAGTTTTCTATGTGTAAAAATAATTGCCCACTCACATGTACAAATATGAATCATGGACGTAGCTGTGCGTCATCAACATGTGAACCAGGCTGTCAGTGTCTTGAAGGTTACGTCTTGGATGGTAAGTTTTTATTTCAGTATCTTTAAGGATACGTCTTGGCTGCCCCAATACTTCTGAAACTTGCTGTAAATATTTTGAAGTCTTACAGTAATGAATTTATTGGATCTGAATTATATTAATGTTAGAGTATATTCAGATGTTATCAGTGCTTTCTCCAGTGACATGCTGCAATATTTGTATAATAGATTCTGTGTTGTGTTGGCAGACATGTTCAATATTGAATAATCATTTTATTTTGACAGATGAACAGTGTATCCTTCCACAAGACTGTCCCTGTCACCACGGTGGTACAAGTTATCAGACTGGAAATACAATATTAATGGATTGTAATACTTGGTAAGAAAATTGATTTAAGGTTTTTGGCTAAGATTAAAACAAATGATAGGATTTCTCTGACACTCACACTATAGTTTTATTATTTTATTTGTCGTTCACAAAACACAGATAAAAATATATGGTCACCAAACCAATTTTTGCACCACTCTCCAGTAAAAAATCTATGAAAATTATGATTTTGAGCTAACAATATCTCAAAATTGTGTTACCTATATACCTGTGATACCAGTCATAAGATAAATACCATTGATGTCAAGAATTATTGGGATTTTCTGATGATTACTATTTTTTATTTTATGAAATCATGCTTTAACCTGGTTTCCTTCGATGGTTTCCCAAAATTTCAACTTTTGCATCTTTTTAGGTAGTTTTTCTTCAAACAAATAATTTGTACTAGGGAAAAAAAGTTGGTGACATAATCAATGTGACACTTTTGAAACAAAAAATTAAACTTGTCACTCTTATTTGTTAGATTGATACCCATTTACTTGTCTCTAATCTGAATTTATAACCTAATTGCTGTGAAAATTGTTTTCAAATATGACAAAACATTAGGAAATTATTATTTTTTTTAAAAATTTATTAGGTTATCATATTTGCTCTATTTAGTGTCCGCTTACATACATGACGAGGTTATTGCCCGCTTACATACATGACAGATGTTTGTGTCCGCTTACATACATGACAGACGTTAGTGTCCGCTTATGTACATGACAGATGTGTGTATGGTATATGATATATACCGGTAGAAGATAATAATTGGTAATCGTAGTCCTAAATAACTATTAAAAATAGCTAGACGTTTCGAGCAATGGCTCTTTATCGATAGCATAGAAGAAAGTGTTATAACGTACAGGTAGAACATAGGAACGTAAGAACGTGCATGAACTATAAGTTAGAATCACAAAAAATTCCACAATAGAACAAATAACGCGCCTTAGGTAGTGAGCTCAACAAATGAGTTGAACTGTTTGTTAATACCATGGGGTTCTTTAGTTCCAAGGCGAAATATAGTTTCCTCCTTGACACGCCTGAGCTGATTTTCGTTGCCATTGACAACACATACACCAGAAATAGACATATCTGTAATATTATGTCCACTAGAATTAAAATGAAATGAAACCGGATAATAACGATTTTTCTGTCTAGTTTGCCGTAGATGCTCAGCAAACCGCATGTATGGTATATACAGTGTATGGTATATACAGTTTTTGGTTTACGTGCACTTCTATTTTTAGAGATACTAATATTGTAAATACAATTTTGACATTAAAGTTTTTATTTATTTTCACTTAAATGTAATTTAATTTAGTTTTTTATTGTTGCACTTTCACATTTTATTTAAATTAAATTAAATTTTGTTTTATTACAGTACTTGTAATGGGCAACACTGGGAGTGTACATCAAGTGATTGTCCTGAGGTCTGTACTACATGGGGCGACTCGCATCATGAAACATTTGATGGTAAACTATACAGATTCCAGGGCCATTGCACATACACCTTATCTCAAAGCACTGCCAACAATCCTCACATCCAGTATTCTGTAACTACAGAAAACATCCCGTGTGGTACCAGCGGCGTCACATGCACGAAATCTGTTATTTTCACTGTTGGTAGCGGTAATGATCGTCAACGTATTGAACTGGTAAGAGATAATCCTGTAGTTTTTCCTAAGGATTCTGTCTTTCAAGTCTGGGAAACAGGAAGGTTTGTGTTCATACGCATCCAGGAAGGTGTAACAGTGCAGTGGGATAGAGGAACCAGAGTTTATGTCAAGCTTGATCCAAAGCATAGAGGAATGGTAAGTGGAAAAAGCAAATTTTTATTTTTTCAGATATAATTTATAATTTGCTTGAGTCAGAATTAAAACTTATGAGAGATATTTCTTTCCCCAGGTTGAAGGTCTCTGTGGGAATTTTAATAGCAATCAAATGGATGACTTCCGATCACCTGCAGGCGGACCATCAATCACGTCATCATTAGAATTTGGCGACAGCTGGAAAGTGTTTGAATCATGTCCAAACTCTGTACATGTTAACGATACCTGCAGCCTCGCTCCTCATCGCAAGGCATGGGCTGACAAGAAATGCAGTATTTTAAAGGGACCTTTGTTCCAACCGTGCCATAGTGAAGTTCCTTATGAGCCGTACTATGAGACGTGTGTGTATGACGCATGTGGTTGTGATACAGGAGGAGATTGCGAATGCCTGTGTACTGCCATTGCTACCTATGCTGAAAAGTGCAACATGATTGGTATCTCAACTCGCTGGAGATCGCAATACTTTTGTCGTGAGTATATTATTACCCAATCATCAGCATTAAAGCCACTATAAATAGTACTTTTCGTGAGTGTGCCAGGCCAGACATAATGGGGAGACCAAAGCCACTGTACTCTTGGCGAGTGTGCCACAGATATAGTAGAGAGACCTGAGTCACTGTACTCTTGGTGAGTGTGCCACAGATATAATGGGGGGTGGGGGGGGGGCGCACCAAAGCCAAAATATTACAACATTTATACTATAGTAAATTATGCTTGGAAAGGCTATGGTTTGAATTTTGGAATATGCTATATCTTCAATTTCTCAGAGGATTGAGTGTGAGTTATCATCTTCCTCCATGTACAGAGATAAATATATTATTTGTTTCTGACTGAAGCCAGTCAATCCCCGACCCACGCTATCAGATTGAACTAATGCACCACTTGTATACATTACCATGAAATATATTTATATTCACAATAGCTATGCAGTGTGAGGGATGTGGTCATTATGAAGCATGTACCAGTGCCTGCCCCAAGACGTGTGATAATTACTATCAATATGACACTGTAATGGATCAGTGTGATCAAACATGTGTAGAAGGATGTCAATGTCCGGATGATGAAGTTTATGATGTAGAATCCAATAGGTGCATTTCCCCATCAGAATGTTACTGTCTTAAAATCGACGGTGTGAAGTATTTTGAAGGTCAGACCATACAGAGCCTTTCTGATGATTGTCAAACATGGTAAGTGTTTAAACCAGGATTTTATACCACAATGATGAAACTGAACACTCAAAAAAATGGAAATCTACTTGGCATGGGAGAATTAGAGTCAAGTCTTATGAGCACTGCAGAACTAGCATATACATTTTTTTTTACAACAACCATTCAACTCAAAACTTGTCTTTTGATAACTTGTTTTCTTTTTCTTTCCAGTTTTTGTTCCAACCATAGTCTACATTGTCTGGGACAGCCCTGTGGATTCACTCCAGCAACCACAGCATACCCTACCTTATCTACTGTATTCACAACAATACTACCAGCTACTACCATGGTGACCACTGGAGAAATTTCTACATTGCAGCCAACTATGGAAGCAACGACTCCTGCCATCACAGAACAAACAACATTGCAACCAACTACAGAGGCAACGACTCCTTCCATCACAGAACGAACAACACTGCAACCAACTACAGAGACAACAACTCCTGCCATCACAGAACGAACAACATTGCAACCAACTACAGAGGCAACGACTCCTGCCATCACAGAACAAACAACATTGCAACCAACTACAGAGGCAACGACTCCTTCCATCACAGAACGAACAACATTGCAACCAACTACAGAGGCAACGACTCCTTCCATCACAGAACGAACAACATTGCAACCAACTACAGAGGCAACGACTACTTCCATCACAGAACGAACAACACTGCAACCAACTACAGAGGCAACGACTACTTCCATCACAGAACGAACAACATTGCAACCAACTACAGAGGCAACGACTACTTCCATCACAGAACGAACAACACTGCAACCAACTACAGAGGCAACGACTCCTTACATCACAGAACGAAGAACATTGCAACCAACTACAGAGGCAACGACTCCTTCCATCACAGAACGAACAACATTGCAACCAACTACAGAGGCAACGACTACTTCCATCACAGAACGAACAACGTTGCAACCAACTACAGAGGCAACAACTCCTTCCATCACAGAACGAACAACATTGCAACCAACTACAGAGGCAACGACTCCTTCCATCACAGAACGAACAACATTGCAACCAACTACAGAGGCAACGACTACTTCCATCACAGAACGAACAACATTGCAACCAACTACAGAGGCAACGACTCCTTCCATCACAGAACGAACAACACTGCAACCAACTACCTCACCATCACCAACTACATCTGTCACTAGTCCAATACCAGTGAGTTCGGCGATGCCTTGCGATAGCTGGACTCCATGGTTGAATTCTGACATGCCATTCTTGGGAAGCATTGGAGACATGGAAACGCTACAGAATCTGAGAAGCAAGTACACATTCTGTGAACGGCCAAATATGATTAAATGCCGAACAGTCAATCAACACTATGCACCTAATGAACAGGATATAGGAGTCACATGTCAACTCCATCATGGTCTTAGCTGTGTTAATGCAAACCAAACATCTGGTCTGTGTTACGATTATGAAGTCAGTTTCTTCTGCCCTTGTGGTAAGTCTAGAATTTTACTGTGTTTTAAAGACTCTCATATTATCTTTCGATGTGCTAAGAAAGACTTATTCAACATTTTTTATTTGATATCATTAAAAATTTATTGTCACTATAGACTCACCTTATCTTTTGAGGCACCAAATGTGATGCTGTAGCTTTAATTGTGTTCAATGATTTTTTGAGATTTGTGTGTGAATAGGTTTGTATAAATTGATGAATATTTTGGTTGACTAGTGAGTTAAAGTTGATAAATGGTCTCGTGCCAAACGTTCATGTCACTGTTTTGTTTTGTTTGTGTCCTATAGAGGAAGAAACTACTGTGACCTCGCCTACTGTAAGCACGTCATTTGTTAAAACTACTCCAGTAACTTTCCATACTGTACCACCAACACTGTGTACACCCGGAATGACACCATGGATGAACATAGACTCTCCTATGGATGGTGATGGTGACATGGAACCTTTAGATGAATTACGACAGTTTTATGGATTCTGTCGTTTTCCAGAAGCCATAGAATGTCGTGATGCACAGACTGATGAACTTTATACTAAGACAGGAGAGACCTTAACATGTGACTTGATGAATGGCTTGTTATGCTTTAATTCTGATCAAATTAACGGGCTATGTAGAGACTACAAGGTGCGACTGGATTGTGGCAACTGTGGAGGTAAGAAATAATGCACTAACTAAGGAAATCTGTGATAGCAATAATTTAATAACGATTTTAATACAACAAAATAATGTAACCCTTTGAGCACCATTGTCAACTTGTGGCACCACCTTTTTTTTCAATACCATCTTCTCCTCCTATTAAATGTTGACTGTTTTACAAAATGTGAAAATATTTGCTCTGAATTTTGGAAAATACATGTATCTGCCACTCAAAGGGTTAGGCTTCTTTGTAATCCATGAAAAAGATTCTTATTTATGTTTTCACTACTTGTTTCGCAACTAATATTTGTGAAATTAATCAAATACAGCTGTTTGGAAAACTATCGGTAAATAATCTTTGAGTAAATTATGGCAAACATGGTGGCTTAGACTATTTGGTTATTTCTGTTACAAAAGATATAATGAGTTCAAGTCCATGAACTTCTCACTCCCACTGTTTCATAAACGTCTCACCACTTCATGTGTTTCATGCTTTCAGTGACGAGTCCACCAAATGTAACTGAGTCTACTTCTGTTACTGAATCTACTACAATATCGAGAACCACAATGTCCACAACCACCGGGATTGAAACGTCTTCTCTAAGTCCAATCACCACAGAAGCTGTGACTACGACCACCACTGTCAGTCCAACTACACAAATCTTAACAACTTTGGGTACCTTGAAGCCAGAATGTATCCAGCATGGATGGAGCCTTTATATGAGCTCTGATGTTGGGGGCTACTTAATGGAAGATGGAGACTTTGAAACATTTGAGAACCTGAGGAAATACTACGTTTTCTGCGAAAGACCGGTCGATATTAAATGCCGATTAGTGAAAGATAAAGAGATATACTACAATAACACAGGTCAACGTGGTGTGACATGCGATGTGAATCATGGTCTGGTCTGTCTAAATAGATTGCAAGTGCGACCAAGTCGATACTGTTATGATTATGAAGTTAGTGTGTATTGTATCTGTGAAACGCCACCACCCTCAACACTTCAGCCAGTTGGTAAGTGATATCCCACAATACAATAAATATGACTGCCAAGAAAAATATTTACCAAATGACATTGACAGACAATGTATGTTAATATACATTGTATATTTTGTATTAGAAACCATTTTCAATAGTAGTCCATGCATATTAGCATAAAACTACATTTATTACGTATTTTATGACTAGTTCTAGGTTTACAACTTGATTGATGCTTAGCATAGATCGCCATGGCCTTGGGACATAAACTCGCCTAATAGTAGCCATTTTTATGTTAAACATTCATTCAAAATCAAGCATTTCTGCCATTCCAGAACTGGATTTCTGTTGTGATAATATAGAGTTCATTCAAACTTGGTACATTGAACATTATGTGATCCCCTATGCACATTTGTTTCAGAAGGCCGACTAGTGGCCATTTTGTTTTAACAAATGCTGTTCTGAATGTTCAAACTTTATATACATCGCATCATGTTTACACATATGCACATGTAATAATTTGGTGATACAATTCAATATGGCTGAACGGTGGCCATTTTAATGTCTGCCATATCAGGAGCTAGATCTTGGTTGTGTATGGACGGAATTTGTTCAAATTTGAAATGTACATTGAACATTATGGGACCTTGATGCGTGTCATTTTATGTTTCAGATCGGATTTAAAATGGCTGACTGGCTGCCATTTTGTTTTAATCAATGCTGTTTGATCCAGAGGCATACCTCAGAAATGCTCTGACCATTTATCTTCAAACGTAAAAATTTAATGAACTTCATGAACTACGTCTTACAATTATTTTAATAATATTACAGTTTACCAAATGTAATGATTACTTTATTTTATTCTCTAGTTACTACGACAGAAACCATCAGTACAACTGTGACTGTTACTGAAACTGTTACTACCACAAGAACCACTGAGGTACCACCTACAACTTCAATTGTCCCAGAAACAACATTTCAAACTATCAGTCCAACAGAATTATTCACTGTAACTCTGCCAGAAGCAACATCAGAAATGGCTGAAGAGC